AGTCCAGTTTGCTTCTGGATGTTTTCTTGTACACTTAACGTTGTTCCATCTCTTAGAAAGCAAGGAGTAGAACATTTTTTAAGTGCCAATTTTGCCTAAAACCTCATCATAATTTCTGAAATTACTTACTGAACTATTATTTTCCAAGCAATTTGAGGCATCTGTATTTCATCTAAAGTCAGTTTTGGGAAAAGTCCTATACCCCAGATACTTCTAGGAGGCATAACAAAATACTTGAATAAGGTTATCATAATGACATAAAATAATGAAACATTCAATTAAGATATGGGAAGTGGTGGATTAAAAAAAAAAATACTTTTAAAAAGTAACCAAAATATTCTTATACATCTTTTACAAACTCAAGAGGACACCGGTGCTGGTCACCCATTTGATGGTCACAGTACAGAAAGACCTTAAGAATTGCAATAACTCCATCAATATTCACAACAGTAAACTGGCAAAAAAATTCTTTACTGAGTATCTCACTTGAATTAATTTGCTCAATGAAATTTTAGCATGGGTCAAATGACTCAATGTGCAAAACATTTGGGCAGTAGAGACTGTCAATCACGCCTCGACTGTGAGCGCATCCCTCTGAAAGCAGAACTCACCGTGTGTGCTGACAAAATGAATCAAGTAACCTTTACATTAATTTTTCATTTAGCAAGCCTGTATTAAGCTAAATGGCACTCCCAAGCAGTTGACAGTTGAGGAATCTATACTGCCCAGATCCATAATCATACACACATTTTACATCTTCACTTCTTTAAGGATGCTTAATTCATAATCAGGAAATGTGGGCTCCTCCGGTAATATCAGAAGTCTCACTGCTTCTAAAAGTGGAATCTTGACTTTAAAATGGCATGGATTCTGATCACCCAGAGATCATAGTAAATACCAAATATATTCTTGATGCCTGGCTAGTAGGGAGAGAGAGGGTGGGAAAGAAAGGCATTTGTTTTTAGAGTTCTCCTGTGCTATCACCTCCTTAACTGTTGTGACAACCTCTGTCACTGACTTTGCATGTTAAAAATACTTGCACTCTTAAAGTTTGGTATGTTTCTACTCACAGAAGAAATATACTTTATAACAATACAAAATAGTACATGCTAAAGTCAGCTGTCATCCAGGCTTGTTTGCCACAATCAGCACCAGGATACAGCAAGCTTAAATGGACAGAGACATTTTGGAATTCTAAATAAAAGAAAAAGCGACAGACATCTTATAAAAACTACTATAACCAGTAAGAAGAAAAAAAGAAAAAAAAATAGCCTATGTGACAGAGTAATAAAAATGCTCTAAATACCTGTCAAACCTGTGTTTTGTCTTTTCTTTTTCATTAAATAATGAAATATAATATAAGCAAGAAAGAAAAACAAAATAGCTTGGAAAGAACATACACTGTGCACCTTCAAAAACAGGAGCACAGACTGGTTAGTGAAACAGAAAGGATGCTGATGAAAAGGTAAAATGAATAGCTTCCAATTAGCTACAATTATAACAACCAATAGGAAGCAATCTTGCTACTTCAGAGGGAAAAAACACATTACAGAAGGGATGACAGCAGCATCTACTATGAGGAAGAGAAGGAGGATTAGGGATTCCATATTGATTCTTTGTGGATTTTAGCTTGATTGCCACATACAGTACATTCCATATTCTTCCAGCAAGTGTTGGGCTCAGTACTGGGTAGGTTTCATTCCTAAAGCCATTTTTGCGCAAAAATGGCTGCGCATGGAACAGCTCCAAAATTAAATAAAGATGCTAGTTTGTTATGGCCCAATAAAAATTAAAAACAAAAGCTTTTTAATAATACTTGATTACAAATTAATCCAAACTGAAAGCTCCATCTGCTTTATGAATTTAAGGTGCTCAAAAAAAACAGTGACAATGTAAGACTACACAGACTTTGAAGAATGTGAGCTGGAAGTATAATAAATATTGAGTGTCCAGATATTCATAATAAAATCAAAGTTTTCCCAACATACTGAAGTGAAGCCATTTAAAGGCCTTGAAAGGCATTAAGAGACCGCAAATATTTTTGTTCTTAATAGCTCTGTATTTTCGCTTAGTGAAATTCATGTTTTACAGTCCTGGGTATACAAATCTGAAAAGACAAGCTGCTATAGAACTCTTATGTCTTTAGTAATTACTAAAGCCAGCTGGTTTCATTTTAAAGGATAGCACAAGCTTTTTATTTCAGCTGCTACACGTACAGTTATATAATTTCACACATATATAAGCCTTCCGAAATAAATGCTACAAGCTCAAGGAATAATTTCTTTCTCAATCAGACAAAAAATAAAATTAGTGCTACTCAGAAATAAAAATCATGTCTACAAAATTCAGCAGAAATTTAATACATGGCTTGAATGAGTGTTTTGATCAGTGAATGTCTCAATGTTTTTCCATTTACATATTGCATTTTGAGAATCCCGTATAATAAATGTCCCAAAATTGCAGTCTCAATCTAATATATTCCTTAGTCTCTCATTTTTCTTTGTAACTGTTGTAAAAATAAACTGTCCACAATACAAAAGTTTACTCTAGGTTGCATATTTAAATTAAACAGAGTCCTTGATATATAGCTAATACTCAAATCTGCTTTTTCATTACCCTCTGCCCCAATTATTCAGACTTATACCAATTTCTCAAGTTTTTTGCTATACTTCACCACCTTATTACCCAGCTGTGCAGCTGAGCAGGAAGATAACCACATTCATTCCTCTTATCTGTAATGATGTAATACATCTCAGCACTGGGTTGAGATGATTGGGGGAATAATGGCATTGTAAAAACTGCAGAGATGGCAAACAACAGTGCAGCCGCCTTCTCCTGATACAGTGCATTGTGTACACACAGCCCAGGGTGAAAATAATACAATATGCACTAATTCTGCTCCTTGGATGAAGTTAACATTTTTCATAAGAAACAGCTGTTTCTGCACAGTAACATCATCATCATCATCATCACCACCACAATGCAGCAACCAGGCTGAACACCCGCAACCTGGGCTGAAGCCTAGGCTACAAGAAATGAGTGTTGGAGTTTACTTTCCAGTGAAAAAAAAACAGTCATCCAAACAGAAAAATATCAGGTTAAGCAAGGACTCTACAGATAGTGCAGTGCAATGCAAAGAGTCATCAGGGACTAGTATGCCATACAAAAATAGATCATGGACAAAAGCACGTACAGCACTGCTTTCCTGTTCATTTAAAAAATTAAATCTGCCTCCATCTTCTCTGTTAAAACCTTCCTTATTACAACCGAAGAAATCCTTACCTTCTGTAGGAGCTGGGAACCTGAGTATTTGGCTGCAATAGATTTGATCTCTCCACCAAATGCTGAGGCCCAGAGCTTTACACTGTGAAGGAAAAAAGAGACAGGAAGAAATGTAATACACATGTCATAGCAAGCAACAGAGACTGTAACAGCTTCAGCTGCACTCAGAAGGAGCCGAGCAATTTTGCATTAGACAGCTCACTAAGGAACCTAAGCACAGCAAAAGATCAGTGAAGCTGTACAAGTATAAGCACAAACTAGACCCCATGCTAAGATAAGGCCTCTGATATGAACCTACCAACCTGAACCATTAAAATTTAAGGAATTAACTTGCACAGAAACATCCTTTGGTACAACGTGACACATATCAATTGAAAGGAAAACAGCAGATAAAATGGCAAAACAGTTCTGAATGATAAATTCCCACATGATAAAGAGTTAACAGCATCAATTTCAGTAAATGCAAGCACTTAAAACTCAGTGGCCACATGCTCCACCAACACATGCTCCTACAATAAAATCAAAGTAGTGCCAAGCGTCTTGGAGACAACCACTTCAAACACAGCTGACAGAGGAGCAAAGGTGCCCTGGAACAGTCAAATATCTGCAGTACAAAAACAGGAGAACTTGAGCAGCCAAGTTCTCATCCTTGAACGTGGTCCTGAGAGGAATAGCATGAAAGCACTTACACTGACAAGGGGATCTGCTGCTCCGATCCAACCACATCCACTAAGGCTGTGTTAAAAGCTGTCCAGAAGATCAAGAAAAAACCCCCAAAAGCCCGAAGAAGATTTAGGTTCTCTGGCATTGTGCCTCTCTGTGCCTGGAAAGGTTTGGGGAAATTCAAGTGAAGCTGAGTTCAGCAGCAGTGGGGTTTTGCTTTTAAAAGCTTCTTTTCCCCCACTCTTACCCTCTTCCACTAGAAGGGGACACTGGAACACCGGAAAAGAAAAATTCAAAGCTCCATCCTCATTCCTCCAAAGTATGACCCTCTCTGTGTAATGGAAGGAGCAGACCAGAAGCGAAGCTCTAATGACTTGAAAACTATTGTGTCCCTGGTAACAGCAAAGCGTTTTCCAGCACTACTGCAGCCACTTGCATGTAGTTCTTTACAACTCCGCAGTCAGCAGTGTGCTGAAGTTACTTCAGTGACCTACTGCTGCTCCAAAGTGCCCTTAGCAGCAAGAAAGCAGACTATTGATTCCAACTGGGGCTGCTGTCTTCTTGCAATTACTGCTCACTTTGCAAATGGAAAGCTGCCTAGAGTTCTCCTTTCCCTCGCCGATAAGCTGCAGCCTTCATCCCGGGTGCAGGCAGCCAGTGCATTGGTTCGGCGGAGCAGGAGCAGCAGCCTTTTAACGGGATAGCGCCGAGACAGAGAGGCAGGCACGGGAGGAGCTGGACCAGAGGGAGGGCACGGCAAAAGCAGAGAAAGTCTGGAGGAGCTGAAAGTGGAGTTGAGCCCTTCCAGGGAGGCGAGAAGAGAGCGCTGCACATTGCCGGGGGCTGAGCCTGGGAGGGCTCGGCGGGGCTGGCAGGGGCGGGGGCGTGGGGCCGTGCACACCCACCGGAGCCAGCTTCAGGCAGGGCAGAGCTGGTGACAAGCACCTGTCTGTCACACACCGGCGGAGCTCGGCCGCCGGCAGCAGCATCCCGGGGCGGGCGGAGGGAGCGGAGCGGCGGCCCCGGCTCCCGGAGCATCCATCGGGCGGCGGCGAGCCCCGGCTCCCGGCCAGGCTCGCACATTCCCCCGGCTCCTGGCGAGCGCGTCCTTGGGAATAAAGGCACGTTTGCTGCTTCCTCCCACGCCGGAGCACTGCAGCAAGTCACTCGCCGAGAGCTCGGGACCAGCAGAGGCTTATGAATGAAAAGAAATGCAGCATAAGTAAATCAATGCGGGCTGACTCCAGCCTATGAATAAATTATTAATTTGTGCTCAAAGAAGAATCCTCTTGATATGGCAAATATAGGATTACAAGCTCCTCCACTGAGAGAGCAGCGTACCGAGCAGGAGGGATTGGTCCAGGTATTTTTTGTTGTTGCATTTTAAAATGTACCCCACCCCTCTTTTGCTTTTATTCTTCTCCCTCTGCTTTTTTCTCACCTTCTTCTCCACTAAATGTGCAGACTTAAAATAGCAAGTGAACTTTAATGTAAACAAGTATGGCAAGACCATGATCTGAGCATGGGCTGAGTCATCCTTGCATCCTACAATATAGCTCCGGTGTCCGCTCCAGAATTCTAGTTTCTTCCCTCAGTAGTTATAATTAAGACCTCAAAATATTCCCTCTGCCTTTGTACACTGTTCTTATCTTAACATTTTCTGTCTCGAAGCTCGAGATGTAGTACCTGTATTTCTTTGCACATTAGCATCTCTAAGAGCACTGAACAGTTTGCTTTAAATATCAAACCCTCTATTCAATACCTAGCTGACAAAAGCTTCCTGCTTTCTCAGAAGAAACGAGAAGTTTAAAGATAGAAAGACTAACAGGGGAACTGTGGAGAACAGAGTAACACAGCACCCTGCAACTTTCACCACCCACCAGGCATCCCCACCAGGAACAGTAAATAGATCACATTTCTCTCTGTACTAATACCTTTTTATGAAGACAATAAAGAAAAAATTTCTTAAAAGGAACATTTATTTTGTGTATTACTGAACCATTTTGAAAGTCATGTTATCTGCTGTTACTGTGGGTTTCCTAAGCACTGTTTTAAACACACTACCATGTCACCAGGTGTTCAGCTTACCTACAGGCAGAAATGTAAAAATGCACATGGCTGACTAACAGTATATAATCAATTATGTGCTCCTTTGAACATATTACATAAACAATAGTATCTTTCCAAAGCCAGGAATGAAACAGAAATGGTTGATTGTCTCAATACTTGTGCTGTTTACTTCTTTTTACAAGCCAAACACTGTTAGGCAGTAAATTCATAAGCTCATTTTGTGAGATTCAAACAGTTCTTATGTTAACAAAGATTCTTAGCTGCTTCAAGTGACCAGGTGACAAGTAACAGTTACCTTCCTTTTTGAGAGCAATCCTGGAAGCCCTAGAAACTTTGTGAAAGCACACAGTATTCTTATGTTCAAGGGGCCAGCAAAATCTAACATGGATTTAACCCATTGCTAATAATTGGCAAGAAAAGATGATAAAGTAATTCATCAAACCTTGGCTTTATTTACATTTATCATTCAACACTATATCAGACCTATGGTTTATGTATCTGGTGTGTGCAAAACTGGACACTCACACTTGCTTAATACAAAAATTGTACTTGTACTATTGCTAGTCTAAGAAACTAAATTCACTTGGAAAAAAAAATTTTGCTTGAAAGAACAAGCTTCTTTTGTGTTAACAAACACTTGTGTACACCATACCACAGAGTGCTCTCAGCAGCTTTCATTAATGCACACCGGGTATGTCCGAGCAGGAAATCACCTCCTCCCGACCATCCTGTGAATGGAAAGCAAGGCTGAACCATAACATTCACAAACCACTACAGGTGACACCACAATCTGTCTGCAGCTGTGGCCTGGCCTGGCCACTGCTGACTATTCCTGCTATGCAGATCGCTGCAGTCGTGACACCCGATTCAAAATTCATGTTAGCATTTCTCCCATGTTGCTCCCATCAGATGCAGAAGCTTTTCCTGAGTGGGATTGCATAATGAAGGACCAAGAAAAACACAGGAAAAAGAAGTGGTAAGTTTTGCTGAAGAGTTTCAGTCCTTTTTACTGGGGATAGAGCTGTGTATTTCATTATTTGCTACACCTTGTGATGTCCTGGAGCAAAGGCAGAAGAAAGCTAAGTTTCAAAGCATAGTAATGAATTTATCTTTTGGAAGTAATGTGGCATTTCTATCATGTCCTTATGCTATTATAGACAACTGCTGACTCTGGAATAATTTCTGGTCCCACTAGAAAAGTGTATGCACAGATAACTGACCAGAGAAGGAAAGCATTTATGCACATAGCAAAAATCCATTCCGAAACCAAAGTGCATCTCAGCAGAAAGTGCAGGTAAGGTTCCTTACATGCCACTGGTCTTTGAAGCAGAGTTCCCCATAGAAGTGTATTAAGCTGCATTTCCCTGCTTCTGGCCTCTCGTTTTTAAGGGATAAAAAATGGCAACTAATTTTCTGCTGTGTCCTTGATGATCAAGCGCAATGGTGCATTTCGGTTTCTCGCAGAAAATGAAAGAAGCTGTTTTCCCCATGAAAGCAAAAATAAAATTTGGATACATGAATAAAATCTTGTAACAAAGTCACAGACAGGGGCAGAGAAACTTGATGAATCCCCCAAGGTTTTTCAGAACCACATTCAGGAAAATAACCAAGGGATTGGAGGAAAAAATCCAATCAAACCAACCCACAAATAAACAAACAAAAAATCCAGGTCAAGGGTAATGTGAGATATGACACAAAGGCTGAAACAGCAACTACAGACTAAGGCAAAGCACCATATATAAATATACATAATAATCACCTGATTAATTAATCCCATTGTTCTTTTCTTCTACCTCCAGGTATATTTACACTTATGAAAGGGTGCAGAAATAGGGTCACAATTGCCTGTATTTTGAGATCTCTGATTAGACATGTATCAAACCCTAACAAAAGTCAATTGAGAAGCATACAGAGAAGAGAAAATATGGTGCATGGGAGAAGGGTAGGAAGGAATTATATAATTAACACAAATGTTTACTGTATTTCTTTTTTCAAATGCTTATCTACAATGAGTTCTAAACAGAAGTAATAAATGCAGAAGGCTGAAGTACTAAAAGCCTTGCTGAAGATGTAAGCCACCTCCACTGGAAATTAATATTTAAAAAAGAACACAAGAAAGGAAATATGTCAGTTTATCTATATTCCACACATATTAGAAGATTCAGATACTGCAAAAATAGAAAAGCTGTAACTACTCTGCATGATGTGGTGTTAATATTTGCTTTGTACTTCATTCCTCTGTACTTCTAAATACTGAGATTATAATTCTCGGATGTGTTCTCCACAGTGGTTTTTTTTTAATTATTTAACAGACTAAACTGTCCATTCTCACTCTTGTTTGAAATACTTAATTTTAAAAAAAATCTCCCTTAAATAAAGACAGTAGGAGAATAAAAAGGAAAATGTGAAAGGATATAGAGTCACCTCATATAGTAAACAATTCAATATAATGTCCCATGGTGAAAATCCTTCCAGCCTTTAACAACTCTATGAAACTTTCCCTTACTTCTGTGCAAGCATAATGTTTCACATACACTTACTCGTGGAAAATAGAAACAGGAGAAATAGAGGGATAACAAAAGTTATCACAGCTTTGCAAAGCTTGAGACTTTCAGATAAAAGGCAAAATCTGAAGGTTCTGAATTTATTATTTGGAAACAACCCAGTGGTGGTAGCACTCATCAATCTGCCTGCTGTGAGAACACAGGCTCACTTGTTTCAAGTGATCTGTACATCTGAGGAAGAGCAGGAGAATGCACATGCAGCCTGTTCTGGAGAGGTTGAACATGTATTCCTAGAATTTTATGGAGGTCTCAGGTGTATAAATCTGTGTTCCACTGGTGTGGGAATGCCAAGTCATCGACCAATTCCAACCCACTTGCAGCAAAGATGGAGGTTACGTTACTCACTGGCTTAAATGAACACAGCTTCACATAATGGGCATGAGCTAGTGTTCTGGAGCAATAAAAGTCCTGCAGAAATTCTGCAGTATTTTCTATATGCAACTTTACAATATTATCATCTCGTTTGTGCATATTGTTCAGGTCAAATCAAGCACTAGTATTTTATCCGTGAGAGTGTTAAGAGCATACACAACCAATGTTTACATATAATCAGTCATTTACACAACTAGAAATACAAATCTCTAAAGATTTTTAAAAATACTAATATACAATCCTAATTAGTATGTTGGGAATACAGCATTTTAGGTTACTGTCACGTTATCTTCAGCACACTTCAACAGCCAATAAACCTCACAGTTTGCCATAACCCCCCAAGGAACGCGTGGTTAATTTCGCTTCCACAAAGCCTAAGATCAGCTGGCTTTTGAATCTCCACAAGGAGTTAAAATGCAAAAGAGCAAAGCATTATCACATCCCAGCCTATGAGAGCTCACACTGCATGGCAAGCTAGAATGCTTTAAGCTAATTATGTTTATAGCTACCCAAATCCAATTTCAGCAGTCCACTGTAGCTCTAGTCTGTTACTGCCATTTAACATAAGCTTCATTTATTTTGAATTTTCAACTATTAAGACAAAGTCTGCCTTTGGTTTCTTTCAAGAGTTTCATGCTGGGAAATGAACACTTCTCTAAGCAAATAAACTATTTTTTTTTACTCCCAAAGCTGGTGCTAGGTTGTAAATGTTAATGCTTTCAATGAATTCAAAATACCTGCAAACTGAAGATAAAATTTAAAAATGAGAAACTGTAATTAAGAGCTCTGATATAATGGACAGAATGCTATGGAAACAAACCTATCTAGTATTCTTTCTCTGACAATAAAAAAGAAAAACATGACTAGAGGTCACAGAGTATTTCAGTGTTCTATTACTATTATCTATCACTGTCTACACTCTAGAATGAACCCCTGGTCATGTCTATAATGGCCTGTGAATGTTTACCCCAAAACTAACAAATTCCTCACTTGAAGGGATCCTTGTTGAAGCACAGACTTCAAGGGTTAGGAAATGCATTGTCTTTACTTCAGACCTTGGGAGGCTTGGTGACACAAACACTGGGTGCCAAAAATGCTGTATTCAATAGGGGAGGGGGAAGCAACTGTCCTGAGCAGCCACTGTCAAAGGGACACCTGCAACAGGAGATGAAGTGACATCTGTGGACCCAAAGTCATCAGGGAGGTCAAGGTTCCAGCCACTCAGCTGAAAGCAACCTGCAAACTTTAAATTGGCATGCAATTATTTTCAAAATAACATCCTTATTGCCAAGTGGAAAATACAACATGGCTTTTAATCCAAGAAACAGTGCCATGTCAAGTAATTACATACAGCAATAAGGTACTTCAGAGGTCCATAATTCTGTCACTCTCCAATAAATTCCTACATCACAAGTATGAATTTTGTGGTGGGAATGTGACTTTTATGAAGTCTTGACTAAAATCCTAGTTTCTTGATCTGATATTCACCACAGTTCTGCTTCTTGATGTAACAAAAATGAATTTTGTATAATTCCATGGCAGCAGTTGCTAACCTGAGATCCACCTCTGCTCTATCACTTTGTTGAGCCCTTTTCAGTTATTATGAAGATTGACTGATCCTGAAAATCAAAGTTATCTCAAATTGGAAATAGCATGTATTAAAAAGCAATGCACTGTGGTAATGAATTCCATTAAATCGTTGCATAAGGAAAAATAATATATATCAACAGAATAAAGCATCCTGTGAAGTTATTAGACTGACATATCGGATCTCAATTGCAGAGAAAGGCCACCAGGAACTACCGAAAGGCAAACAGATTTCAATAAGGTCTAAAATAATACCAGGAAGCACTAAGCAAATTTCTTGACTTTTCAGAGTTTGAAATTGATTTAACTTCAAGAAGAGTGTAAGCAAGTCATTATTTGTCTTAAGGTCTCAATAGCAACCTGATAAACCTATTTAAGAGTTGCTGGTTTATGCAAATCAAGTTTCATTTCTTAAGGGGTTACTGTCACCTTGGGTAAGAATCAAATTTAAGACTGCATTTTTTTCCCACCAGTGCAAGTGCCTTCTTGTTCTGGTGAGCATTAATTGAAACCTGTCTACTGTAGACAGATGAAACCATCTATTATCAGGGCACTTCTATAACATTCTAAAGTGGAGACTTGGATTTGGGCATAATGAATGATTCCTACATCACACAAAATATGCCACCACAGGAAAAAACACCAAAACAAGAAGACCGTTTCTTATCCTAGGGTTTCAAATTCTGGCTTGTGTATAATGCTCAAATTCTACTTCTGCTTTAATAATATAACTTGACATTAAATATCATGTAATCAAAGTTCACACCTGCAGAAAAATAACAGATTTATAGGTTTGTGGGTTTTTAAAATAGATTAAAGCATGATTATGCTTCAAAGATGCAAAATAAAAGCAAAATTGATACCCATAAATATACTAATAAGTGTTAGGTAAAATATTTGCCAGAGCATGCATTTCTATTTTACAGGCTGTTAATCCATCATAGTGTCACTAACATTGCAACAGACACACTCACACTGCTGTGCTTATTACTTTTTAATGCATCACTCCATTTTAAACATTAATACTAACAAGTTCAGGCTATAATATAGTCATCCTTCCTATCCATAAAAAGAAAAGGAAAAAATTGCCACCCAAATGCCAGTTTATACTAGTTTCACTTATTAACACACAATATGAGAAGGATTTTAGAAAAATACAGAAAAAAGAAGAAAAGTTCTGAGTCAAACTTGTCATCACATTTTTCCCACCCCAATATTTTTGTGGTTTTGTGGCCTGGAGTTTGGGGGGTTTGGTTTGATTCAGGGCTTTTTGCTGTGAAAATACTTTTGCTTAATCTTCTATTAGGAACAAGTCTCGGCCACAGCCCCATTCTTAGTTTCTCACAATCTATTCTGCTACAAAATGCCATAACCCTGAACTGCAAAAGCTGCTCAGCCTGCAGAACAGGAGGTGCCAGAACTCCATGAGAAGCCATCTGAAGTGATCCCCTGT